AGATCCGCTTCCTGGGCCTCAGCTACAAGGTGCGACCCTGTCCGGGCTCCTGGGTGTCAAACTGCCTTTGGGATCGTTCCTACCTGTTTGCTTCTGGACTTGATACTTTTCTTAAACTGTTAAATATTCCATCTATCATCAGAATTGTTTATCCCCAGTAATATTTCATTTAATTGCCTATAGCACTGCTCTTCCTGTGCAGAATTGAGACCGCTTCTGTAGACGGCAGGTCATTAACCCTCATATTTTGCATGAAATAAGCACGGTCTGCCTGCTGCAGATTGGGGAACTGAGACATTGAGCAGCTTGTGACTGGCAGCGGAATCGCCAGCGTGCCACATTTCCGCTGCCAAACACGGCACAGGGCGAGCGGGTCTGGGCTCCTTTGCTGCCCGCTCACTGCGGGGTGCATGGTGGGTTTGCAAGCAGCAGCTGACAGGCTTGTGTTCTTCCTGCAGTACATGGTGCCATTTCTGCTCAATCAAGGTGGATCTCTCCTCTTCTACCTCACCTTGGCATCTGCAGGTTAGTTCTCTTTGCTCTTGTGGAGGGGATTGATCAGGATTGTGAGAGGAACAGTGTTATCAATCAGTCTGGTGACCCAGCTAAACATCAAGCAGCTGTCTTGTAATAATCCAGCTAAACATCAAGCAGCTGTCTTGTAATAATCGCCAATAAAACAAGGGTCTTATGATTTGTGGAAGATTATCCATTTTAAACCGTTTGTGCTAAAACTGTTCAATTTCAGATCTGTCCCTGGCAGTGCCGCTCTGTAACTCCCTGGCTTTGATAGTCACGCTGGTGACTGGGAGGATTCTGGGAGAGGACATCGGTGGTAAAAGTAAGTTACACTTAAAACATTTCCTCACGTTGTCTGCTGCATATATTTGCTGACTTTATAGTGGGGGCTACCCTCTGGTCTCTTGAGAAACAGCAAACACCCACACTAGTTAAGTAGTAGCTCTTGCTACAGAAGCTGAAAAGGAAGTGAAATGGACTTGTAAGGGGGCTGGGCTGATAAATTTGAAGATATAACTGGCTATCTAAGCTAACAGAGTTTACAGGCCTGAGTCTTTACCTAACTAGATATGCAGCCGTAAGAGAAGCACTAACTAATATGCCCACCACGGAAGAGGAATGCTTGTAAGCCCCCAAAGGTCAACACCCATCCTTCTCTCCTTCCCCTGCATCCCACAACACTGCCCTGCTCAAAGTCAGAAAATGGCAGGAAGCTTGAAAGTTTAAAAACACCAGGACCTGGTGCAATAGCTGCAGGAATACACTAAAGTGGCATGGTTTTTTTTGTTGTTTAAGCCTGGTTCTCGCTAGGCAGCCACACAGCATCAGCCACATTTTCTCAGAAATGTGCTTTTGCCCGAACATCCAGACCCCTCCGGAACTCGCCTGGTCCAGGCTGTGTCTATCCAGACATTTATGCTGTCCTATTTACTGTGACATCTGAGCATCACGAATTTAGCAATGAGAAGATCTGACTGCCTAGTGTTGAATTATGCGAGTTCCCCATATGTTATTGTTCGTTTCTGCAGGGGCTGTGGCAGGGAGTCACTGTCCTAGGAGTCACGCTCTGTGTAGCTGGTTCGTGAACGAGATGCGGTGAGAAGCAGAGGAAGAGAACCTGTTCAAAGGTAACCCCCGTGGCTGAAGGGGGGGTTTCTGGCTCAGCAGCCGACCGTTCGGCTCAGTTGGACCTAGGAAGCTGCATTTTGACACACAGATGTCAAAACCCATGAAAACATGGGCTGTATTCCCTGCGCACCAGGGTGGACCAAGGCACATTGCAGGGACATCCTATTTCGTGTCTTGAGTTAAGGCATTTTTTTGTCTCTGGGTGTTTCAAGGCAAGGATGATCCACTTGTCTTGTTCAGCACTGGAGGGATAATAAATGGGTAATAAATCATTCAACGGGAGCTTCGGGGACCTACTGTGTTTTCTGTAGAAGGAGTCTATTTAGGAACTCTCCCTTTCGTGACCGAACACGTGGAAGTGGCTTCCTCCGCTGCGCTCAGCTGCAACGTACCAGGTCACGCTGCACAGCCCCTCACACTGAGGCTACCACATGGCTTTTCTCCACTCACGTCTTGCAGAGTGCCTCTCATCTGTAAAATAACAACGGAGCAGTTTGTGCCTAGGGAAGGAGGAGGTTTTTTTTCCAGTGAAATTACCAGTCCAAAATACCAGGCAGATCACGGGAGAAAACATCTTTGTTACCCTTGTAATTAATCAGAAACACTAAGGAGGGAAATCCAGAAAGCCTTGCACAAAGAGGGTCAATACAAGAGTTGTTGATTACTATGACTTTTCCTAAATCAGGCAGATGCTCCTGAAGCAAGTTAACAGAAACAAAATGTATATAATTTTGGGAACAGGTTTGATTGCTGCAAACATTATCCAAGCATTCCAAATTAGAGGCACAATGATGCATTGAAATCTCTTGATAAGAAATATCTAACATAGAACAAACTTCCTGGCAAGCATTTTATTATAAAGGCGTGTATTCTGTTTGGTAATTCTTCCTTCCCAAGTTCAGATAAAAACCAGCTTAATCAGAGTTCAGAAAAGCAGCCATCTCCTCTGCCACATCATCACGCCATAGAGATCTTCATTATTTAACAACATTGTGCTTCGGATTCATTGCTCCCTGGCACTCTGCTTCTCAAGCCTACACGATGAGGATGCTTGATTTTAGAACAGTTTGTTAATTCATCAAAAAGCTTGGCCAGTCTGTGGTGTTGCAGAAACCTAGGATTCACGTGCTTTTGTTATCTGCAGCTGTGCAGACAGCTGTGTACCTAACTGTCCCTCTTCTCTCATCACACTCCCTCTGTGAACTCTTCAGAGCTCTCTGCTGCCAAGGACATCGTTCGGTGCTTTTCATCCTCCGAGTCACTGGCATCCCTTTTGCTTGCCATGGTCTTTTGTGATTTCTCTGTAGTCCATGCCTTTTTGTGGTGAGAGAGAAACACAGTTATTAATGTAGCACTTCACTGTTACAGAAAGATTCTGGGACTAAATCCCGGGATTCCGTTTCCAGTCTTATCGTGGCTTTGGTATGCAAAGTTGGGTCTCTACGTTAAACCCAGAGGTAGCTGATTTAATGCCTAATGATTCTCTCCCACTGCAGAGGGGAGCTGTGACACAACTGTACAGCAGTGTGATCTGGGGGGAAAGGCTGACGGAAAGCAGCAGCATCAGAGTGCGCACCCGGTGAAGAAACGCCAGCCCAGCCTCTAAAGCAAACACAGCACACCAGGCTCCCCACTGAGCCACGAAGTCAGGAACCATTAGCTCATTCTTTACGAGGGCTTTCTCTAATTTAAGTTCAAAGGAGTTGTTTTCCTTTGAAGTTCTAATTAATCCAAAGAGACTACCGAGGCAGAACTGTGAATCACCTACAACATAATATATTCATCCCATTACATCAACGCTAAATGTCCCTATGAAAAGTTTGACATGACTAACCCATGAACAATAAACATCTCCCAGACATTTTCAACACTTTTTTTTGTTTTAAGAACTACTTGTTTTTCCTTAAAAAAAAAGATTTAAACTTGTTACTATCTAATAAATGTGTTCAGTCATTTTATGAGTTACCTGTTTATTCCATGCCAGCTTCCAAGCTTCACCTGGCTACAGGCAAGTTCTGCTTAACAGGTTATATTTAGGGGTACTGAATTGTAGTGTGAGAAATCTGAGCACAGCTAGGAAGGATCTTACACACTTCATAGAACCATTAAGTGGAGTAAATACCTTACTGTGGTGTGTCGTTTGGCCTTTTGGTATAAGCCCTTCTGCAACTCCCTAGAACAGGAGTAAGGATAATAGTACGCACACACACAAAAAAAAAATCCAGGAAAGCCTTTGATATCCTTACTGCAGTGGGAAGCTGCAGCTCTCCCATTCCAGCGGGAAATGTTCCTTACCCCGATGACAATCTCTCACCTTTTTAAAAGGCAAAGCCCCGCAGTTAGACACTTCCCTCTGGTTTCTGAAGTTCCCCCTCGTGGTTACTGTCATCTTTACACCTCGCAGAGAGAAGCGCGGTGCTTTGCAAACCGAAGGAGCAGAGCTTAAAACAAGTGAGAAAACGGCAGGACTTCCCCAAGCAATTGCTATAAACTATCGACTGGTGTGTTCCCACAGGCTGTCTCTGAAGGGCTGGCTCTTGGAGTTGCCTCCCTTCTGTGCAAAACCTGCAGCACCAATAGATTCTGGTAGGACCATGAGTACTTCACTGCAGCAGCAAGACTCCTGCCAGGGCAGAAAATCATTTCTCAGACCTGATCAATGGCTATGTCCACCCTCACCTGCTTGTCCTCTTTTACGTCCTGGGCACCTCGCATCTCCTTCCTAGGATCTTTGGTTTTACAGACATTTTCTTCTGCGAGGAGAAGAAAAGAAGAAAGCTGTTCAATGGGTATTGCAGATAGCCACGAGGAGAGGAAAGAAGCAGAAATTCAGAAGTTACTGGATGCATCACTTCTTTCTTTCAGTGCATCTGCAGGTATTTTGTCCTTTAGCATCAAAGTGAAGCCAGTCTTCCTCTACGCTTACAGCAGTGTCCTTTACCTTGATCAGGCCAGTGCCGCGCATTCCTGTTGCTCCTCCTGTTTTGTCCTGCGCGGACAGGTTTAGCATGGAAAATGGACTCTTCCTCTTTGAGGTGAGATTTCCTGGCTTGCCTTTGCAGTTGTGGAAGAGCAGCTGGGATCTTGTCTTTCTGTGCGGGTCCTGGAATCTGCACGCTGCGACCGTCCAGCTGAAAGTATTCATCACACATGTCTGATAGGCCTTCTTGATAAAGCAGTTTATAAAACAAGAGAAGTTTTGCAGAGCAATCCCCTGAACGCTGCAGCCTTCCCCTGTGACCCTTGATCCTGACTGGTACAAAGCTGTAACACTGCCTTCTCTGACCAGGGTTTTAAGTTGATAGTACAAGTGAAACAGATGCAGGGAACGCACAAAACACTTTTCACGGTCACTATTACCTGTTGAGGTGGTTCAGCAAGAGCAGAGTCACCAGCACTGACCTGGGAGGTGGCATACAGTTCACCAAACTGAAAACAAACAAAAAAAGGAAAAGGCAATTTTTTGAAAAGCAAAATAGCACTTCCAAAATAGCACAGATGCACTTTTCAACGGACAATCCAGGACAGCCCAGCTGCTGCATCTGTAGTCTCTGCTGGGCATTTTACCCGCACGGTGAGCAGGAAAGCTATCCTAGCTCCAGGATCAGTTCTCCCTGCCCATCAGCCAAAAAAGAAGAGGTAAGTGAGGCCACCTTAAGGAGTTTTTCTTCAGGCAGAGAGATTTAATTCAAGGATGATCTGGCCACATCGCTGTCTCTAGCTCCTTTCCTTTGGGAATGGTGCCAAGCAAGGATGCCGTAGCCGTGGCAGTTGGGAATGGAGATGGCTGTACACACCCACTGCGTATGGAGGGATGTCTGCACAAAAGCAGCTGCGATCATAGCACAAACAGTCCCGTGACAGCTGAGCCACCTACCCTTCTCCGGGATTTTTTGCGCCTGCTATTTGGGTGGTTCCTGTAACAAAGAAGAAGCAGATTCTCAGCATCAGGCAGAAGTCAGCTGCAGGAGGACGCGATCTCCCCTTTTCCCACGAGAGAGCCCCTGGAGGTGTTTTTTCTTGGTGCAGGTAGAGCACTCTCCACAGCGGATCACATTCCCGTTCTATCACACTGCCCACCACAGGCCTGTGAAACTCAGTGCCCGGCCTAACGGGCAGGTGCTCCTCAGTGCTTGATGAACGCCTGCTGAGAAACAACCAAAGCACTTGCTTTCTCAGGCGCTGAAGTCCGGGTTTCAGCAGCTAACCTTTACACCAAAAGCTTTGAAAACACATCCTTTGTTCCTAAACTTCCAACACATGAAGCAGAACTCCAGTCCTGAAGCTGACAGCACTGAACAGGAGGGCCACGAAAAGGATGGCTGTAGCTGAAGACCACCCTGGAGAGGATTCTTTCAACCACTTGGCCGCAGCCTACGTACCACTGCATCCTGCACGCAGAATCCCAGGGCACCAGCAGCTCCAAGTAAGGCAGTTTTTTGTACTCCTCGTTTCCCACTGCCACATAGTAATCGCCATTCACCAGCTCCTCCCCGCCAGAGACCTGGGTTCCATCCAGCCTGCAGAGCCTCGAGGAAGAGACAGCAAAGGGTTTGGAGCTGTCACAAGACTGTGAACAACCCCTCAGCGTGGAAGCAAACATGTGCAAAGCAGTCAACAGGACCGAGACAAGTCGGAGAGGATCAGTCAAGGAACTACGCTGAAATATTACACCCACCGATCAGTGAAATGCAGTAATCTCAGCTTTCTCTTTGGTGTCGGTACGAGGAGACAGTAGGCTGTATTTGTTGTATAAAAACCCCTCTCTCAAGACATAACCCCCCTTTTTATGCCACGCTTTAACTGCTTGCTTGCTGATTTTTCACCGCACCATCAGCAATACCAGCCCTCCTCATAAAGCACCCAGGACATCGGGGCTATCCCTGATTTAAAGATGGGAAGAACCTGAAAAGCATACGAGACTGCAAAAGCAGACTAGAAGTGGCTGTCTGAACTCCCAGTCCTCTGTGCTAATCAGAGCTGCTTATGCTCTGGACGTAAGGAAAGAGCCAGCAGTGCCTCATCTGGATACCCACTTGTTAACCGCTCCGCTGCGCAGGTCGGCTTTCTCTGTCAGCGTGGCCAGGAGCGCGTCCCACTGCAGCGGGGTGCTCTTGGAGAGTGGCAGTGGGAAAGGAGGGCTCAGCAAATCCCCATTCCGGAAAACACTGCAGTGGAAACAACCCAGAGCATGCGATGAGCCTGTGGAAGATGGGGAAAAAAGCCAGCCAGTGCTGCCTGGACAATATTTACAACAAATACTTCTGGGAGAAGCTGGGAATTGTCCCTGTGGGGCAGCATTCCCAGGATCTCACAGATAAATTCCCTCCAGAAACATTCCCAGGGACCGTCTGAGGAGAAAACACCGAGGCACTTACTGTATGGTGCAGGGCAGGTGGGCGTGCTTCTGCCGTCGTGCCAAGGCGTTCGACTTCCAGGGAGCTGCAGTGCGGAACTAGAGACCGAGTTCAGTGCACACAAACAGCGACAGCCCTGGCACCGAGCCTCCCAGGGCCGTTCCCTTCTCTCCATCAGGAGCTGCCGGCCCTGGGACACCGCCTGCCCTGCCTTCAGGCTTGCTGCTGCTAGGTGGGGTTTGTTGTCAGCAACACCATGGCTGGGGCGGTTCTTCACATAGCTGAGCGCCCTCCAGAATTACCAGTGAACCTCTGAGCACAGATCCTTCCCCTGTGCCGTAAGGCGGGGCGGAAGGTGCACGGCAGCAGCCCCTGCGCTGTCTCACACGTCCTGCTGATTCCTGCAGGACTTTTGCCTGATCTCCACCGGGCACCTCACAGCCTTAAATCTCAGCTTCAGTTTCATCAGTGCCAGCCCGAACACCTCTCATACCTCCTCGCTCATTCTGCACTCCCGCCTGCCCCGCTCCGCCCAGGGACTCACCTGCAGACCCTCGCTGTTCCTTGTCCCACAGAGCTCCTTCCTTCCGCCACTTAAATAGCTGTGAGAAGAAGACAACGGCGTTGCCACATACCAACTGGGCCGTGGCTGACTAAAGAGCGGTGAGAAAACGACCGGCTGCTCTGCCTTGAGGCATCGCCACCAGATGCGTGGGTCACTTACTTGGGTCACCTCCAAAACGATTCTCCAGGTGCCTCACCATGGTCACGCAGAACTTCAGTCTAAATTAGTCTGCTACACTTAAGAACTTCCCAGCCGAACACAGACCATTTCAGATCCCCACGCTAAAGACACCCAGAAGATTTTATTCCTTTGCATTAATCACTGATGGTGGCTCCAAGGGCTGACCAGTGTTAATGCAGCCTCAACCACCTCCTCAGCAAGATACAATAGGCACCAGGGAGCCAAAGTCACCTGGCGCACAACACATCCACTCCCGAGTCAAGTGACACCACAAAAACTTCTTTAACCCTCTTGATTTCAGGATGAGCCAGAACAGCTCTGCTTCGTGCAAGATTAGAAAACCAAAAAAACCTTTACCAAACCAAAGCAAAAGTATTTGTCAGCGGAGACAGCGTGACTGCCAGCTCTGCCGAGGAAGCAGGAGCAGGACCTCCCATACACCACAAAACAAGGTGCCCGGACAGCAGAGCAGCACCGATCACGACGTCCTGCCAGAGAACGCACGCCTGCCCCAACATGTCTTCTTCTGAGTCAAGTGACCTTACCGGGAATATTTGGATTTTCCATGCAATCTGGAGTATGTCCAGTACTTTCCAGTAGGAAAACAAATTAATCTGTCTCTGGTTTTGGTTGGGTTTCTACCCCTCTTACCTCTTTTTCCCATTCACACCCCAGCACATTCCCCGCAGAGGTGATCCAAAGCTGCTTACCAAACCCAGAAACCAAAGGTCTGTCTACTCACTCGAGCCTTTTGAACTTCTCGAAGCCCGCAGCCACGTACTGGCACCCATCCCGCAGGTCCGCCAGCTCAGCGACACGGTGCCCGTGCCTGGGCGTGTAGAGGTTCCTCACAGCCAAGGGCGCGTGAATGCTCTTGGTCACCTCGTTCAGAAACGCCTCAAAGGTCAGGAACCTCCGGTGGCTCACGACAAACCTCCTCCCGGGGAAGAAGGGGTCCCCGTTGCGATACACCACCACATTCTTGGCTGGAGGTGCCAGAGCTAAGCCACGAGAGCTCATCGCTCAGGGTTCGAGCGAGCCCCGCTGAGCACAGAGGCGAACAGACCCAGGCGGGGAGCGGCGGAGAGCGCTGGCCAGCCGAGCTCAAACCCTTCTGAGCAGCTGCTCTCGTGCTCTGCCGTCCCTTCCCAGCGCAGTCGGGCGCGACTGGCTGTCTCCATGGATGCAGCCCAGCAGGAGGAAGTCGTGGGCCCGTCTGGAGGCTACATCAACCAACCTGCAGAGCACCTTTCTATTTGAGAACGAGGAACTACACAGCTCTTAAGCACCAAGTACTGCGAGCTCCCTCACCAGCCACTGCACTCAGGTTAACCAGCCTGGAGGGCCAGTAAGTGCCAGTATCTTTACGGCAGCAGCTCACGTCCCATCCAGAGCAGCACTATCCAGAAGCTGTCACCCCTTTGCCATCGCTTGCAACCTGCATGAGAAGTGCAGTGGGTTTCTGTCCTGCGTGTACTGGACAAACCTCCACATCCCAACGGACACGCCACCCTTTGCGCTGAACAGGCTGCCATGGGTCAAAGCAGGACTCGCATGGC